GTCTTGTGTCAAGAGTCAGAGTCAGGTCTCAAGTCTTGTGTCAAGAGTCAGAGTCAGGTCTCAAGTCTTTGGACAAGAGTCTGCGCCAAGTGTCAAGTCTTTGGTGAACTGTCTGAGCCAAGTCTCAAGTTTCTTGGCAAGTCTTTGCCCAAGAGTCCAAGCCAGGTCTCAAGTCTTTGGACAAGAGTAATAGCCAAGTCTCATCCCTTGGTACTCTTTGATCAAGAGTCCCATGCCAAGTGTAAACCAAGTCTCAAGTCGTTGGTCAAGAGTCTGATTCAAGTCTCAAGTCTCCGGTTCACAGTGATGCACTTTGCTTTTCATAATGATCATCTTGAATTTAGCTATGCCTACAAGTAATTTTATTGATAAGATCACTTTAATACATCATAATTGCTAGCTGCCTTGTTGTTGCCTTATTCTGCTGTTATCTTGATAACATGTAGCCTACAGAACCACTTGCTTTGATATGAAGTGCACTGCATATGATTTGCAAAGGCACCCAATACAGAGTAAAGATTCCTAAAGTATCTGCATCTGTTACACGCTCCTGCACATTCCTGCTCTACAACATCAGGAGGATTCGCCCCTTCCTCACTCACCTTCATTAACAGGTGCTAATCCAGGCTCTTGTCATCTCCCGCCTCGACATCAGACCTCTGGAGCTTGTCCAGAAAGCTGCAGCTCACCTGGTGTTCAATCGCCCCAAGTTCTCCCACACAACTTCCCTTCTCCGTTCTCTACACTGGCTCCCTGTAAGAGCTCGCATCCAGGGCAGTGCCTACAGGGCAGTGAAAGGAACAGCTCCTTCCTATCTCCAGGCCATGGTCAAGCCCTACACCCCCGCCCGACCTCTTCGCTCTGCTGCCCCTGCTGCGGTCACGGCTTTTTTCTGTCCTGCCCCCAGAGTTATGGAATGATCTCCCCACTGACGTCAGGACAGCAGAGTCACTGCCCATCTTTCATCAGGCTGAAAACTCACCTCTTCAAGAAGTACTACCTGAGCCTTCCACTTAGTACTTATTGTATTCATATTAGTTTGTTGCACTTATTGTATTCGTATTACTTTGTCTCTGTACTTTTGCTCTGGTTTATGCTCTTATATGCTTGTTTAACAAAGGAGATGCACTTATGACTTCTGGTGACTAGTAGTGGTCTTGAATACCTATGTTGAATACACTTATTGTAAGTCGCTTTGGATAAAAGTGTCTGCTAAATGACTGTAATGTAATGTAATCTATGAAATTATTCTTAACAGCATAAAGAATTATTGTGGGAATAATACGCAATCGAGGCATTGTTGAGTGAAGTATGGTAAGCCTATATACAGAGGGAGACCTTTGTGTCGCACGTTAAGCCCAACAGGACTGTTCTATCCACCCATATTTGCTCTCTCCCTACGCCTCTCAAAAACGATTGTTTTCTGAATAAATAAAAACTGTTAGCCGACTGAGTGAAAGCAAAGATAAGTTTCACAACTGACATTCTATCTAAAACAAATAGCAGCCGGGTATTAGAAAAAAAAAAAAAGCTGATTTCCAGGCAAAGAAACCCTTGCTCTGTACAACGAGAGGATTCTGTAAATACATCCGAATGTTGGCTGTCGAGCTGCATTGTGGATAATGTGGAAGATTTTTTAACAAGGAGGAAGAATGCATTGAGCACCCTGTAGTAAAATTTGAGCTTATCAACAGCCAATGGTGTATTATATAGAATTAACACTGTCGAGTAAACTCATTTTAATCTGAATGCAAACACAAATCTTTTTTCTGTATCAACAAACCACCTCTGATGTGTATGTGTGCCTTCACGAGGCTACCAGCTAGCTCTTTGTCTTTGTCGTTCCAACCCGATCAGGCTACCCGTGGATCCATCCCTAAGAACATCACGTCCCCCCGCTGAGCTGATCTTAGCTGCCAGAGGAGCTGTACAAATCAGTTCTGGCTATTTATAACAACTTGACATTGAGAATGTGGGCTGATCTGAATCCAGCCGCTCAGAATGAGGCCCAAGAGGTGCCTGGCTGTGGCAAACTGATAAAATATAGCTCTGCCAGCTCCCGCAGGATTACAGTCTGTATTAGAAACCGTATCGCACCATACTGTCCTGTTCAGACTGGCCTCAGCACACTGCAAATGGCTTCAAATACATGCAATTCGATTCAATAAGTAATCACTCTTCAGTCAGTGTTACGGTCGGATTTTAATGTAATGTAATGTAAGTGCCTTGTGAGATTATGGAGACTACTCATTTTGAATTTCATGCGATCAAATAGTTCAGAATTAGACTTGAACATTGTGAGGTTTTTTCTGTCAGACAAAATAAGCAATTTTCTAGCATCATTTAGCATCTTAGTGTATCAGTATGCAAATGTTTTCTGCTTAGCGCTAAACACAAAATGCAGACCATGAATGTCTGCACAATATTTAATGGAAATCCATTAAAAAATTGCAGGGATATTTCAGTCTGGACCAAATTGCTGGACCGACCAAAAGAAAAAGCAACAGACATGACCATCTCCAGAGCTCCGCTGCGAGCATAGCAGTAAATGCGGGCTAAACCTGACCCAAACTGCCTGTTTTTAAATGCCACAAAGACGAGGCCTGGTCTAAATGTATTATTTTCCCATACAACAAAACTGTACTGTCAATTACATTTCAAAGGAAACACATTTTCTCCCGACGTATCACAAATATGTTTCTAATCAAAGTCCATGAAAGTCTGCGAGGGGAGGAGTCAAAGTGGATGGATGGGTCACACAAACACAGGACTTTCACCCAAGAGGCCGCAGTTCATGTCTAGAGTGAAACCAAAAGTTAACATTGACTTATTTTAATTTACGTGTATCACTTAAATAATGTAACAAAGGTACTTATTTTATGCCAAACCATGATGCGTTCACTAAACATAACCAAGTAGTTTTGTTGCCTTAACATAACCACGTAATTTTGTTCTATTTTTGTTTTGTTTCACTTTCCAACTTTAACCACGTTTAAAACTGTGACCATAATCGGGGAGAAAATATGTTTCCCTCAAACAGTAATTGAGAATGCAGTTATTTGGGTGCCACGCCATTGTTCGGCCCAATGTTATGAAACCCCAATAGTCCGAGAACTGTCCCATGGACAGAAAGCCCATTTGACCGACAGCCTGTTATCCTGAAAACAAACGCTCATAGTTACAATAAATGTACACTTTCTAACTATTAGGCAAAGATGTCATTGGACCTTCACGGTCGCAATATTATTCCGTCCATGGGAAAGGCATGACAGCTTGTGAAGTGCTGGTGTGCAAAAAAAGTCACGGTGCTTCAAATTTTGTAAAATGCAGAAGTGGGGGTAGCCTACTGCTAACCGGTGAGTAGCGGCCCACTTCTAGCACTGATTCTTGTACCTCACCCTTCTTCTTCACCCTCGGATATTTGTATTGTTGCGGTTTCACGCACTACTTCATCAACAATCCTTCAACAGCATCGTGGGCCAGGGCATCCTTGAGGGATATGAGAGATTGTGAGACATACGGGGCCACCTTGAAGTGGTTTCTATTTCAGGGTTTTCTAGCTGGCTGTCCTTGAGGGTGTTTCAAAGGTCCTCCGAATATTAATTTCACCGCTTTAATAGAGCAAAACTTAGTTATAATGAATTGATTAGTCAGTAGTTAGGGAACTTTTGATTAATTAATAATTTTAGTCGGTTTCAAGAAAAAATGCCAAACATTTTTCTTGCCTTTGTAGGCAATTAGTGAATATCTTCAGCTTGTGGACTTGAACAATACAAGCTATTTGAATCAATCTGGGCTCTGTAAAATTATTTTCTGACATTTTATTGACCAGACAAATAAGCATTTTATTAAAAAACAATGATCTTCACCATACTTAACAGTTGAGTAACGTGTGTAGCAGTCAGTGCGGTGAGGAGCAGGGGGGCTCGGCCGGTGTTGTGAATGAGGGCCATGACGTCAGGAAGCCAATGTCAACAATGCAGCTCCTAGAGGAGAAAAGGCGTTTCATCCGAACACACACACGGAGACCGTCCACCACGCACCGACTGATGCCCACGGGCCGTTAAAAGGAGCGGTTCTGGCTGTCGTGGGGCTGCGGAAATAAAACAAAAGAAAACAATGCGGACTCACTCTTATTCCTGAGGAATTGATCGCGAGACGAGCAGGAAAAAAACGGGTAAGTCGGTCCCGTCATTGCAAGGATAACAGCAACCATTGGGCTTTACTACGCTTGAATAACCCAGACTACGGGATCCCCTGTCAGCCGTGGATTTGCTTCTACTAATCTGTCTGCCTCACAGTAGTGGTGTTGCGTTCACGGGGGGGGGGGTTGCTCTGTTACTTATCTTTCTTGTCCTGAGCTGTGTGCTTACCTGATGACCGTGGTGGTGTTCGCGCAGGTTAGCGAGGATGCAGTACAGCACTACTAACAAAGTGCTTTGTGTTTTTGTGGCTGTTTTGCGTTTTTTTTGCCAGCGACTTTAATTGCCAAAAAATAAACACTCAAAGAATGAATATTGATAGTAGCCGACTGAAAGTAACGTATGGTTATGGTGCCTTGTTTTGTGGCGTCATTATGACAGACCGCACGCGTCGGTTAATTCTACAAGGAAGTTGTCGGGTCTTTACATTAGTCCCTCGTGCTTTTTTATTTTAGCTAACCACATCCCAAATATACGATGAATCATACAACATGTATCGATAGAAGACTAAACGAGGGGACACACATGTTTTGCACGGGAAACAAATGCAACAACCGGGGCTCGCGCTCCTGTCATGCTGCTGGGGGAGGACAAAGGACCCAGCCTCCCACCCCCTTATTCCCGCCTCAGCCGCTGAAACAGACAGTTCGGTAAACAGCGACCACGGAATAAAGCAAAAATTCCCGTGTGGGCTGTATCTTGATGTGTGTTCGCCGCTACGTTCCGCTACGACAATAATGTACGCGTCAAAAATAAGCGAGGTGATATTGCCCGGTGCCTACATGACAAATTGCGACCTTAAAGGTCTAAAAATAGGAGTTACTGAGGTCTTCTTATCACTACAGCCTGATAAATGTAGTATGTAGAAACGTTTTGATATTCTATTAAAACCCAAGCCTTCAATGTATATTATTCCTGGAGTTAGTGGCTGCTTGTATGACTTCTGTAAGCCACTGTAAACATGCCTTTATTGTGAAGAGATTAGCTCTTTGTCGTACTTCCTACAAATCCTTTTCCCATCTTCCACCTCTCTCCTGATGGGGAAAAACCAGCAGCATCAGAGTATGTGCAGCACTGGCTTGGTGGTGGTGGTGGGGGGGGTTACATACAGTTCAGCTGAATGGAGAGGAGAGGTGACTTGAGCCAATGAAATATTTACCACCGCTGCCAGTTCCAGACAGTTATCTTGAGCAAAGACCGATATCTCACTGCTGCTTTGGCTGAAGATATCGCCTCTGTTATTTGCTTAGTTATGCTCATAATATAAAGAGATCTTAAATAAGGAATTATTAAAGGGACAATCAAACAGATTTTACCTGTCGAGGTCAGGGTTGCTTCTCGTGGAGGGACACTTTCCATCTTGTGACAACGGTTATGTAATGTCTCGTGTGGAGCTCTGTCAAGTCTGAGAATACGCAAATGATGTCATCACGGTCATCTCAGTGTGCAGATTCATCGCAGAGAAGGTGCTTTGCAAAGCGGGGGTGAGGCCTTTAAAAAAATAATAAAAGTCATTCACCTGGCTGGGAGGGGCCGGACAAAAGATGTTATTGAGCTGCATCATGGGAGGTGTGTGATACAGCATACATGACCCATACTGAGGACCAGAGGTCAGAGGTCATGGAATTCTACCATATTTCTTAAAAACGGTCTCAAAGTACAAATCTAACCTGGATGTCGCTTCACAGCATGAGGGGACCGGGTTGGAGTCCTGGGCTATCAGGAGTTTGCATGTTCTCCCAGTGGCAGCGTGCGTTCTCTCCGGGTTCTCCACAGTCCAAAGACATGCAGCTTGAGTTAATTGATGACTCTAAATTGCCCGTAGATGTGGATGTGAGCGTGTTTGTCTGTCTCTGTGAGTCAGCCTAATGTCAGCTGGGATCGGCTCCAGCAACCCCCCCGACTCTGAAGAGGATAAGCAGTTAAAGATATTGCCACTGGATGACACCTAAGTAAGACTGAAAAAAAAGAACAGAGAAGCCAGAGTCTGCTCGAGTCCAAGTCAAGTGGTGTGATCTTATTGATTACGTGTGATCCTGTAGTTTAGTTCAATAAGGTGTCTAAGGGTGTTTTTAGAGTATGGAGATGCATGTATGGATGTGTTTGGTGTTGGCAGAGCGTGTAGTGCCATTTATGTCACTGTGTGTGGGTTTGTCCATGTGCTGGCTTTGCTGAATGGAGGGACAGTCGGAGGTTTGCGTCCTGCGAGGAGTGTGAAACGTGTTTTTTTTTTTCAGAGGTCCGTGCGGAGGCGCTCAGTGCTGAAAATAACCGCGTTGAATCCGCCGCTCTCCTGTAACTCCTGACCAACTTCGACTCATTCATGAAGTGAATCAAGTCTGACCTGTTGGTGAACTGAGGCATTAAAACCCAGGGTCTGTTACGTGATACTAGACCATTGGTTTTGTCTAACATGGCTGTATTCAATTGTTTCATTGATGATGAATTAATAATTGTTTAGTATAGATGCTAGTATTCAGCATAGAAAGTAGGGAAGAGTGACAATCACAGTTTCCCTTTGTCTTCAGATATGAAAATGAGTTTACTGAGATGTAAAACGGATAAAAACAGTCATTTCATTTTAAAAGCAGCAAGTATTTGGTCTAAAAAATGCAATTATTTAAATTGACCATTTATTTTCTGTTTGACACCTGATGTGGGGGCCACATCAATGCTACAGTATTTATTGCACCTGTGCTTTGCTAGCTGTGAGTCTGTCTGCAGTAAAACTGTTCCCCTGCAGAATAAAGAAATACATTTGAAGAACGTGACATTATTATTGTTTTAAATGTTAAAGCATGTAACATCAAATTTGATGCAGGTCAAATTTCACCATCTCCTTATATATGGAAATGTTTGCATGCACCATGTGTGACATTTACGAATGCGGCTACCTGCAGATTGTACAGGTCTGCTAGTGTGGGCTCTCTGCTGTCCAAGTCCGTTTTAGAGTTCATCAAGGACTGAGACAAGAAGGGAGTCCAGTAAGAGATCTGTGCAGCTTGTTCACAACCTGATTCTGATTTTCACTCCCACGCTCCCCTCTTTTGTCTCTGAAAGCACAGCGGTGGGTCAGCCATGAGTGTGGAAGCAGGAATGTGAAGAGAAGAATATGGAGCGTGCTTTAGAGCTCTGCCTGCTTTCACACCTTTGCACACCTGGCCGATCGCCAATTAAAGCAGTCAGATCGACCCTGTGTTTTAAAAAGAACAGACTATCTGAATTTGCACATCTGAAAGTGTTTGTTACCAGGAGGCAACCTCCCCGGTTCTGGGAAGTGAAGCCAATGCTGAAGTGCCTTAAAGCTGCATTCTCTCTAATGTCCACCAGGGGGCGACTCCTCTAGTTGTATAGAAGTCTATGAGAAAATGACTCTACTTCTCTCTTGATTTATTACCTCAGTAAACATGAGTTTATGGTCTCAATCTCTAGTTTCAAGTCTTCTTCAATACAGCATGATGTTCATTTAGTACATTATTTAGACGTATACAGCGTCTCTACGTCACTCCTCCTCAGTCTAAATATGGTCACTTCTGTTCACTGGTTGCATAAAAACAAGATGGCGACGACCAAAATGTTGGACTCGAGGCTTCAAAACATCAGTCCACAAACCAACAGGGTGAAGTCACGACGACTACGTCAACTTCTCATACAGTCTATGAACCAACCTGAGAGGAAGTCGCCCATGTTGGGTAACATAAGTGCAATACAGAGTGGACAGAGATGAAGATGAATAGAAGTGCAGAGGGAGAATGACGTCTTCTCATTCGTTGGCTGGTCATATGTTCAGTCTAGCAAAGCTAAACCCTTTGTTGCGCATCAACACTTTTCTCCTCCCATCTCTACTGCCAAAAATCCCTGAAAATCTTTTTTTTTTAAAAAGAAGTCTTTAAAGTGACATTGCTATGTTTTAAAGGGGTTAAACACAGCTAGCACTCTTTGTACCCTGCGTCTATTTTCATCCTCACTACGTCATGTGAGGACATACTCCCAGAGGGGGATGGGTGTGTGTGTGTGCCTACTCACATGTCCGTACTATATGTCAGTGTTTGCTGAATGTCTTTATGCACATCTGATGGTGTGCTTTCACATTTGCTCAGTCAGCACCAGTTAGTGGTGTTTTCAGGATGTTCATCACGTTGTGTGTGTGGGCCTCTTGCCCAGTGACACACACACACATACGCACCACACACACACACGCACGCACCACAACAGGCAGACGAGTGAACACAGTGAAGTGTGAAGCGGAGCACAGGGCCGAGCTAATCATAGTGAAGTGTCTGTCAGGAGGCCTTACTGTACTCTGCTGTTCCACATTCTTCTCTCTGCATAACCAAACTTACTCTACAATTTAGTCTTTCGAAATAAACAAGGCTTTGTGAAAAATATCATCTCGAAGCACACTTTCATTCAAGTTTTTTTCTTTAAAAAAAGCAAATAAATAAACAAAAACAAAGTAGAGGCCTCCTCTCAACCCTCCCAACTCTGTAGTCATCCAGCATCATTGAAAACAATGGGAATGGATTGAATATTTGCAATGTGGAAGATTCCATCATTCATAAAGATAACAACAGAGAAAATACTAGACAATGAAATGGGCACCTTTTAATTTGAAATATCAATTTAAAATGAATAATTGAAAACAAATGAATTTAAACACAAATATATTCAGGCTTGCAAAGGAAAAGGACCTAAATGGAAAATGCTTCAATGAAAAAGGGTTTCGTTATTTGTATTCTTACTTTGGTGTCATCCAGTGGCAGGATCAAGAATGACAGTGATGTACTGTTCAGGTGTAGCCATATTTACAGTGGTTTACTGAAAGGGGCATTCCGGCAGTTTTGTTTAGCATACCATCATATCTCATATTCATGGAACTTTATTTCTTTTGTACAAGTCCTGTAAAGAAAATAGTCATGCAGTATTACATGCATGATAAAGAAAGAAAGGTTGAATATCCTGTAAACAATTTGAT